CGTTCTAATCATTTAAATGTACTTAATATAACACTTAAAATTAACCGGAGGATAATTTTTTATTTTATTTCTATTTATTTTTAGCTGTATGGTTATTCCATTACATCATGATTACTCCATTACTTCATGGTGAGCTGAAATAACCTGCTGTTGTACAGTAATCCATCTAGTTATTTGAGTACAGTTTTTTTTTTGGAAAGTTTTTGGTTTTTTGTATTTTGCTTTCTTGTTAATTTTTTTTTTATATTATGTATTAATCTTTCTGTGAATCCATTCTGTTTTACAAGTTTAAATAATTCATATACTATACAAGACGTGTTGTAATTGTACATTTCAATATACAAGACCTCAATTAAAATATTTACTTAGCGTTGTAGTTTCAAAATTTGCAGAAATAACCTGTTTTCTAGTACAATAATTACTATGACAACAGAAATATACCTAAAATAACAGAAATATACTTTTTACTATTCTTAAACTCTTTTTGAAAATATTCATACAATAATATCTATTCTGGTTTTTGAATTCTTGTTTTGAAAATATCTTTTCCTTAAATACTTCATGCTTTATTAATTGTAATGGTTATAGAGTAGAATCTTCATGTAAAAATGTATTGAAAAGTGAAAATTATAATAAATTAAATATAGTATCTTTTATAGCTTTTATCACGAAAACTTTTAGTTTGGAAATGGTACACAATATGATGAGTAAAACATTTTTTAAGATTTCACACAAAAAGTTTTGTAAGATTTGAATCAGTAGTAATCTAAAAATGTATTTGAAAGAGCTTTTGTTGGGAAATTAGAGATATTCACGACATAATTTAATGTATTAAGGGTGTTAAAAGTTTGAAAAATGCCTGAACCAAGTTTATTATATCACAGAGTAGATTCATGATCAGTAGCACTATTAACTTCAAAATTTTCACTTGAAGTGTAGATACAGGATATTTCATTTTCAGTGTCATTGATTTCATCATGTTTGCCTTCATCATTATTTATTTCCGCAGTATCACTTTATTTATTTTCCGTAATATAAATCATTATACTTACATCTAATTTTTTCATTAGATTTGATGCAAAAAAAAAATTCATTTATAATCGTTTAAGTGCTATGAGCTTACTCGCTTTAATCTGCTTGAAGAAGACTTATATTTTTTTTTGCATTTTGAAACACAGCAAACTCTAAATATTACATTAGTATAACTAAATATTTTAATATCCCTTCTAAACTTTTATTTCAATTGGATAATCCTTTAATTCATCACTGGATCCTAACTTGGATGTTCTGAGTATTTATTACATAGATAACATATATATCTGTGGCCATTGATCAATTCACAATAAGTGCAAAAATGGTCATTTTGAGATTAGTATGACTTTTTGTTATATTTTGTTAGATCTTTTATTTGGTCAATTATGATTGCTAAAGTTTTGAATAAATAATTTATTTTTCATTATTACTAATTTAAGGCAACAAATCAAAATTTCAAACTTTTCTCTTGCAAAAAAACATGTTTGCAGTTATTATTAATTGACCAATGACCGCAGATATGTAAGAAATACACAGAATATTGTACATACGAATGTAATGCGTACTTTTTTTTTTTTGAAGTAATGTATAGAAGTGTAACATTAATTTGTTCCTAAAAAAATATTTCTCATTTAGGTTTTAATTAAATTAATTTAAAGTAATTTTAGTGCTGAGCTCGTTAGTATACTTATGTACAGAATTTAAGTGTAAAGTTAAATAAATATTTATGTGATATACATTCATCATTTTCATGTCATAAATTTTACAAATGTTTATGTGATATACATTCATATTTATGTGATATACATTCATCATTTTCATGTCATAAATATTACAAATGTTCATCAACAAGAAATTTTAAATAGTTTATAGTATCTTGCTTTTAAAGTTTATTTATTATTTATAATCAGTACGACAATATTAGATTACTTTCTTAAATTAAATATTTATGTATTAATGTTCACAAAGTTAGTATATGCTAATAGTTGATTCATGTTAATAATTTTTATAAAAAAAAAAGTATTGCATTGTCAGCAAGAATTTAGTTTTACTGATGGGGTATTAAAATCGTTTAAACTAAAAATAAAAGCGGATGAAACATTAAAGTTTGATTTTTTCGCCTTTTTTGAAGGCCAAAAATTTTTTTAAAATATTTGAGCTTAGAGCAAAGTTAAAAAAGAAAAAAATATAATCTTTTTCTTTTAGAGAAAATAAAAAAACTAGTAAATAATATAATTTTGTTGTATGGTCAGGTTGCCATAGCAGAAAAAGATTGACATAGTAGAAAAAAGATGCCGTAGATGGGGAAGGTTACCAAAGTTAATTAAGTTAAAGATAATTTAAAATTAAAAGATAATTTAAATATTAAATAATAATGGTTATATTATTGTTACTATTTCTTATTCTTATACTTATTTAAATTGTTTTCCTTATTCATTTTTGTAATAATATTGTCAAAATCGTTTTTTTTTTTTTTGTTTGTCTGTTTTTTGTCTCAGTCGAATCAGATTTTTTTTGTTGTTGAAAAACAAAATTCTTTGTAAAAAAAATTAATGTAAAAAAAATTTTTTAAACCCTCAAATTAACCATAGTATTATCAGCAGATAATAATATATACAATACATAACAATATATTGCAAACATATAAAATTTACGTAATAATGACTTTGTAAACATTAACATTATTACTTCCATAGTTGCAAATATTTAAATCGTAAAAAGTTGTGTGTACCGTGCTGGTTTTCACTTATGAGTTAATTTATACACAATTTTGTAAACAGATTATCAGCAAATGTAAAAGTATACATAATTTGAAATAACTTTGTTGGTTTTGCCGTAAAACGAATTTAACCAAAACCTGCTTATCTTAGGTTACCTTCCCCTAAGTAATAAAAGTATTCCAAGTATTTTATGCGCTTGTTTTCACATGCTTTTATATTAACTTTTTTGATTCTAATTTCTTAAAATCTAACTTCTTTAAATTTAACTTTAAATTTTATACTTTTTAGTTCGTTTTCTTAAAAGAATAAAAGTTTAAATGTTAATAAAAAAAATATATCCAGTCGAATTTTTAAAACTAGAAAGTAGTTATTACAAAAGTTTTGCGTAAATCTTTATTACGTATTTGGTACGTTTTTTCTATTTTATGTCGTATGGCGCTAAAAAGAATACAAAGTTATAAACGATTAAACTTTTATCAGAAAAACCTCAAATATACATGCAGACTAAGCTTTGGTATTATCGCAATTCGATTTATTTCGATAATGCAGTAAATTTCGATTTTTAGATAAGAAATCGGGGGCGCTTAGTTAAAAATGCAATATTTAGTTACATAATGACAATACTGTCGTTTTATAGAAAAAGTCGCAGGACAATTTATCGTGAGTTGATTTTTATTGAAAAATTGAGTGCGATTTAATTCGATTTTTTTTATCGCTTAATCAAAAAAATTGCATTTTTGAAAACCGCCAATCCGGTTATCCCAGTGCTTAATAAAGACAAATAAAAAGAATATCGAAGAATAGGTCACATAAATAAAATAGGGATATTAAAAAATAGACTATATCAGATACCCAACACAAAATACAAGACGTTTTTAGACGTCTTAAACACGTTTTTACTGGATAAAGGTTAGGAACTTTTTTTTTTAAAAATACATGTTATTTGCCTAGACTGTTTAATTCGTGACTCGTTGTATGTCTATTTTAAATCACTTTAATCTCTAATGCAACAATAAGTATTGTTTTTTTCGAGAATTCTTGATTTGTTTTATTGTAACATTTTAAAGTCTATGTGTTTGTAACATAAAAAAAGTCTATGTGTTATAGTAATATGTAAAGTCTGAGTGTTAATAGCACAAGAGTGTGTTAACAATTATCCGTCTTTACATTTGTCATAAAACTTAGTTGTACTCTATTGACTTTGTCATGATAAAAACATTTTTACGTCATTTACTTTTTTTTTTAATTTTATTTTTGCATCGCTAATAAATAAAGTGTGGATAGGCGTAATCACTATTAGACAATGTGTTGGTATGCTTAATCAAATGAGCCTACATTGTAATGTATGAACGGTTTTTGATGGCGTAAGGTATATACTTGTTGGACCTTGACTTTAAATAAAAAATTTTGATCCTTTTTTATATTTGGTTTTATTTTTATTTTAAAATGATTTAGTTTTTTTTTATTTATAACTATTTATATACAACTATTTCAAAATCCTTCATAGTTTGTTTTTTTTTTGACATTAATGAACACATTTTTTAACGTCCTCCTAACTATGAAACTCTTATATTAAAAAAGATTGTAGATGGTAAGTTTTTAAGTCTAAAGCGTCTTCTCAACTAGAGTTTTGAAATAGTTTGTTGAAATTCATTATTGCTGTAACTTCACATAGCTCAGCATATTTAAAAACCTAAAGTTTATATATCATATCGTCAACTCGGAATAAAAGTGTCGTATCGAAAATTGTATATAATTATGAAACTAATTTATGTAAATTTAAACAACGTTATATAAAAATATTTTTTTACATTTATGCAAATGTAAAGAAATATTTTTATATAACTTTACGATATAACTTTATAAAAATTTTTTTAATTGCACCTAAAGTACAACATCATATTTTAAGTAATAAAAAAAAGTGACAGAAAAAAATATTATTTATAGCATAATTTCAACTTTTTTGATTGAAATGCTTATCAACACGTGTTTAATAAAAGATTAAATAGATATATTTAATATATCTATATATATAATATATCTTATATATATAATATATCTTATATATAATATATCTTATATATATAATATATCTTATATATATAATATATCTTATATATATAATATATCTTATATATATATATATATATATATATATATATATATATATATATATATATATATATATATATATATATATATATATATACATATATATATACATATATATATTTGTGTTAAACTTACGTTGAACAATCTTTAGCTATCGCTTGTTTGACGTTTTGTAATTATCTGTTTCTTGCATATATTGCCATTTTTAATTTGTTAAATTCAATTTGTAACCAAGATGAATACTTTAATAACGAAACATTTATGCTATGATAACAAAAACAAAAAAATTATTTTTTATAATTTCTTGTTTCATGTAAAAATAAAACAACAACAACACATAATTATATTAACCAAACCATAGAGCATAAGAAGATCATCTATAAACAACGAAAACATATCAAACTAATATATTTTATTAGCATCTTTAAGTGGATAATAAAATAAAGATCAAGTTTGATAGTCTGTTATTCATTCTATTATTTTTTATTAATCTTATAATAATAAATTTTATTCAAAACTAAGAGTTTGCGTATCAAAAAATCTTTGCATTATTTTAACAAACAATCATTTAAAAACTTAGGGAGTGTGACATTAATCCGATGATTGTTTTATTTAATACTTAGTAAATCAAAAAACGTTGAAAGTATCAGTACAATAGTATCCGTTGTTGCTAAGAAGGTCTCATCATTGCACTGATAAACAATTCTGCACATGAAGTTCTGCAAAAAAAATGAAAAATTTTTGGCACGATTTTTTGAGCGGAAATTGTAATTGTCAATGTTGAAAACATTTCTTAGGTGTCATGGTAATAATGATGCACCAAGCAAATATATATTGTTAACCAGATATATGAATTTAGACATTAAAGTTAATTGTGGTTGCATTTTTAGAATCATTTTGAAATGGTTTTTAAGTCACCATTATTAAGGTAACAACCGTGTATACTAGTGTATAAGCCGAAAAATTTATGTCAGATTTTCAAGTCCAAACACGAATTCGCACAGTGGAATAAGCTATTTGGACTTGAAAATCTGCACAATAATTAATACCACAGGCGAATAGTGTTTAAACGAATGGCGTGCCAAAGTTTAACGAATGGTAATATTCGTTTTATGAAACTATATACATAACTCATATAAACTAGTGTATAGTGTCTAAACCATAAACAATTGTATGTATGTGCCATTAATATTTGCTTAAGATCTAAACACTATAACATACTTGTATGTGGTGTTTAAATCATGTTTTGTTTTCAGATAATACAAATGTTAAATATAGTGTCGAGGACGTAACAAGAAGAGATGAGAGAGACGAAGTTTTTTCAAATAATCCTGTTTTAAACTCAGACCTTTTTGGTTAGTTTAATTTGGAGATAATTACTTTTTTATAAACAAAGAATAAATATTTATAACAATAAATGTTGCTATAACAAAAAAATTAAATATATATATATATAAAAAAAATATATGTTTTTACATAAATTCAGTTTCAGCATTTCAAAGTTTATAAGATTTTTACAACACTTAAAAAGTTCAAAAAAAAAAAATGCTCCTTATATGTTAAAAAAAAAATTATGTTTATTTTTTTAATTGGGTTTGTTTCTATCGCATTTTGATATTGTTTTTGTAAAAGAAATAATATATCAAAACTTTGAAATAAATCATAAATACTCAAAACTTTCAAATAAATCATAAATACTCAAAACTTTCAAATAAATCATAATTACTCAAAACTTTCAAATGAAAACTTTAATGTTCCAAAATTTAACTTAATTTTAAAAATACCTTCTAATTAAATTAAATACTGTGAACATTTTATTTTTAGTATTTTTAAATAATTTAATTTTTAAAAAAAACTATTTAAAGCAGTTTTAAATAAATCCAAATTTTTACCAGAGCAAGATTTATAGCGAGTTGTGAAATTTAGCGGATTGCGATTCCAATAAAATAAAGTTAATAGATAAAATTAATATTGATTGTATTGTTAAATGTTGAAGCATATGATTAACTAGAAAATTCAGGGGCGCCCATTTTTAGTAACCATTTACATATATGAATTTTATTTATATATGTCCATTATTTATTTATATGTCCAAATCAATAGTTGTAAACAAAAGAAATACATATTGATTTATACACATACAGACTTTGAATCATTCGCAACATTATTATTTTTGCCACAATTACATTGCCAAAAAAATTTGCCAATATAATTATAGTTAAATGCATAACATAAAATTCTCAAAATGAAAGCGTAAAAATAATATATTATTAAATTAAATAATTAAACTTCATCATCTTTTAGTTAAAAACTGTTAAATGACATTGTTCAAAGGTATATCTTGGAATATAGCCATTTTTTAATTGCAAAGTTTTTTCTATCGTTATTGTTAATTGAAAAGGATGCAGGTGCACTATAAATTGAAAAACTTCTTGAAAGTTTTTATATGGTTCATAATGAAATTAAAACTACAGCAGATTTTTTTTCACTATCATTGTTATTAATTTTGCGGCTTCACTTCCGTTTTTCATTATTCCATTTTAGAAACACACGTATAGGTAACAGCAAGTCTAAATGAAAGATGTCTCTTACTTACAAAGAGACGTTAATAAATAATGTGGATGTGTACACATACCTGGTCTATTTATAGCTAAACAGTCTATGTAACCCCATTAGATTCCGATATGGTACTTGATACAAAACTTGAATTTCTTATGTAAAAGTGCACAGCATCATAAATTCACATATTGAGCAAAACTGATAATTTTTTATTTTTCTAGTTAATTAAAATGTTGCCGTTCCGAATCTGTTGGTATCAAAAAAATTCTGACGCATGGCTCGATTTATAAAGGGACCAAAAAAAAACTCATAAAATTATTTTTTTTTCCAAAAAAAAAAATCATTTTTTAAATATTTTTTGTTTTTATTTTGTTTTTATTTTGTTTTTTAGGAGTTGAGTTAAAAGAAGGAGAAAAAAAATTTTATTTTAAGTGGCTCCTCCAAGTAAGCGTAATTTTAATCTCAATATGGTTACAAATGCTAAGCAATAAAGAAATTGGGGATTTAAAATGGAACGATTATTTAGTCTTGCAATTTTAATGGCTCTTGCACTTGCAAAGTTTTAACGTCTCTAAATAGCCACTCAATGTTTGAAGATAATTTAAGTTTAAAAGAACATATTCACGCTTTCATCATTGAAAACGTTTCTCAGCGAAAAATATTCCATTTAGTATTAATATTATTCAAAAAAAAGTTAAAGCATTTTTAGAAGGGTCAAAATCAAAAGATTCTCTGACTAAAAAACAGGCCAAAAAAAGGAAAAAAATTACAATATAGTGGAATCAATAAAGCAATTCAAAACTCACTATTTAGTTGTGGATTTTTTTTTGTCAAATAATAAAGCTCATCTGTTTGTTAATGGGAATGAAAGAAAAGACGTTTCAGTTTATAGAAAAACACTCGTCAATTATTTTGACGAAGAATAAAAGCATCGTATCATTTTTAGCTTTTACGAAAAGATTTAGATGAGTTAGTTTAAGAGCACAATAAAAAGATGGACCTAAAAATAATCCATTTTTCTAGGTTTTATTGTGAGCTCAACCCAATAGAAATGTATTGGGTTTAACTGAAAATAATCCATATTTCTAAGTTTTATTGTGAGCTCAAAAGAAATGTATTGGGTTTAATTGAAAAATTATTTTAGAAAAATCAATGATCAAAGTAATAGTGGAACGTTAATGGAACAAAGGCTATTTGAGTCAAAAGAAAATTTCGAAAAAAGTGAATTCTACTATAAACTTTGGGGTCGTTTTTTTAGAATCATAATTGACCATAAAGAACATATGAGTTATAAATATATCATAAAAATTTTTTTAATATTAAGATGAAATAATTGTCATAAGAAAGCTCGTTTAAATTTAAAATTAATTTATCGAAGCTAGTGGCTCATTTATAATTTGATTTAAATTTTTTTGAACCAATTCTTAGTAATTGAATTAAAGTTTGCTAACTTTCTTTTTTTGAGCTTATTTCCAAAAAGTTTGTGAAAACTAATATTTTTTAAATTATTAAAAAAGTTTTGTAATTTAATTTCGACACCATTTTGACACCGATCTCTAACAAATGTCCATTTCAATGTCAAGTCCAAAAAATGTCTATTGACATTTAATTTCGCTAACATATTTTTTTTTTAAATAATACTAATGATGTTTTACAGTTGTTTAGCATTAAAATAAAAACTATAATATTTTATTAAAAGATTGCTTCATATTTTTCTTACTAACATTATGACCCACATTTTAAACCTATTTTAGATATTTTGGGAATTCCTTAAGGTCCCTGATAGCCACTAGTCAAATATATATCAAGTTTAAACCTTTTTCTTCTATTTCTTCCAAAAATGTATAAAAATTAAAAAAATAATTTTTTGTTCGGTAATTTTTATACAAAATAAAACCAAAGTAAAATTTAAATTTTTTTTTATTATTTATTGAATTTTACAGTCTTTTTGCCGTAAAATAAGAAATATAAGTTTTTATGTAAAAAACGCTTCATAACTTTTTTGCTAGTACCATTGCAGTCATTTTAAACTTATTTTGAAATTTTTCATAAATATTTTGAACAGTCCCGGATAGACACAAGGTGAGCCACTGCCCCAAAATAACTTTTTCTTATAGTTATTCAAAAAATGCATATTTTTTTTGTTTTTTTTTTAACGCAACTCTTAAAGAACAAATGGAAAACAAACAAAAAAAAAAAATTTTTATGTGATGTTTTTTTGTTGAAAAAAGATTTTTTATGGGTTCCCTTTTGGCCCTTAAAGAAATTGAACCACGATCAGATTTTTTTATTATTGTCAGATTCGGAACGGCAACATTTTAATTAACTAGAAAATAAAAAATTATCAATTTTGCTCAATATATTAATTTTTTTATGCTGTGGACACAACTTAAAAGAATCCCATCTCATCTCTCCAAGTTTTTATTTTATAATTTTGTATTTTTAAGTTTTTTATAAGAATAAAAAATAAATAATTTCTATTTAAGAATTATAGTGTCTGAATCACAAGTTTTTGAAAATTTCTCCAATCCTCTAGCCATGGCATTGCGATTGGAATTCTAACTATGGACTGAGTTGTCCGAGGGATATGTATGACAACCGTAAATGCTACCGGCTGAGATAAAACAGTTCTATATGCATGCAACATTGTCATTTCCGTAATTGCGCACGTGAAATACCTATTTTTATAAAATATACTGCTTATATTACTAAAAATATATAGGGTTGTTATTTATGTTTATTAACAGGACCGCTACACGGATTTAAA